GAGATGGGGTTTCTCCATGTTGGTCAGGCTGGTCTTGAACTTCCGACCTCAGGTGATCTGCCCGCCTTAGCCTCCCAAAGTGCTGGGGACTACAGGCATGAGCCACTGTACCCGGCAAAGATACCCCTTATAAATGATAACAGAAAGATATCAGAGGTGGCTAAATTGGTATCAGTCAAAATAGAGTTTATGTCAAAACTGGTACAAGAGACAAGGAAGGGCATTATGTAACAATTAAAGGGTTAATTCATTAGGAAGATACACCAATTACAGTTATATGTCCCAAGATTAGAGATCCTTAATATACGAAGCAAGAGAAACTAACTAAAAAGAGAAAAGTTCCACAGTAATAATAAAAGACTTCCATGGACCACTTTTATAAATAGGACAATCAGACAGGAAAAAAGTAAGTAACTAGACAACCTAAACTATACATCAAATTGGACCTAATCTATATATACAGAACTCATCACCCAAAAACAGCACAAAACAAATTTCTCATAACTACATGAAACATTCTTCAAAAGAAATATCTAAAAAGAAAACTTGTGAACATTTTTTTTTTTGAGGCCCTTCCTCTGTCACCCAAGCTGGAATGCAGTGGCACAATCTTGGCTCACTGCAACCTTCAGCTCCCAGGTTCAAGCGATTCTCCTGACACAGCCTCCCGGGTAGCTGGGACTACAGGCAGGCGCAACCATGCCCAGCTAAGTTCTGTATTTTTAGTAGAGATGGGGTTCCACCATGTTGGCCAGCCTGGTCTCGAACTCCTGACCTTGTTTAACACTTTTTAAAGACTAAAGTCATAAAGTATAATTTATCCCATCATAAATATATTATGATACTTTGTCATAATAAAATAAAACTAAAGATCAACAGCAGAAAAAAAATCATAATATCAACAAATACATGGAAACAACATACTCCTAAACAGCCAGTATGTCAAACTGGAAATCTCAAGGGAAATGATAACATATCTCAAAACAAAGGAAAATGAAAATAGAACATACCAAAACTTATGTATGCAGAGAAAACACTGCTAAGACAGAAAAGTGTTAGCTATAAATGCTTCTGTTAAAATAGAAGATCTCCAATGGAACAGAATAGAGAACCAAGAAATACAGCCATATACCTACAACCAACTGATCTTGACAAAGTCAACAAAAACAATTGAGAAAAGACATACTATTCAATGACGGATGCTGGAAAAACTGGCTAGTCACATATCCAAGAATGAAACTGGACCCCTATCTCTCATTATACACAAAAACTAATTCAAGATAAATATAGACTTAAATTAAGATCTCGGGTTACAAAAATCCTAGAAGAAAACATTTCTGGACAAAACACATATTTTTAAAGAAAATTTATTCCTCATTCCCTAAGCATGATGGAAAAATAGATATAGGTTTTATAAACATCAGTTGAGAAGTCCTTAAAGTGCAAGAAATGGGCTACATGTAAAATAAAGTAAGGTTTTAAAATAATAATTCAGTATAACATGATGGACATGAAAGTAGACAGGAGATTATTATAGCATTTGTGCAAAAAAAAAACCCCCACAAAAACAGTGTTATTTACAAAAAATCCAGCAAGTTATATTTAGGAAACTGAAACTTACTACAGAAAAGCAATGTGTCTTATATAACAAAGTATGACCAATCTCTCTCATGGTATTTCTACAATTAAGATAGTAACTTCATTACAAAATTATATTTGGCCAGGCGCAGTGGCTTATGCCTGTAATCCCAGCACTTTGGGAGGCTGAGGCAGGTGGATCACAAGGTCAAGAGATCAAGACCATCCTGGCCAACACGGTGAAACCCCGTCTCTACTAAAATTACAAAAAAACTAGCCAGGCATGGTGGCACGTGCCTGTAGTCCCAGCTACTCAGGAGGCTGAGGCGGAAGAATCGCTTGAACCCAGGAGGTGGAGGTTGCAGTGAACCAAGATTGCGCCACCGCACTCCAGCCTGGTGACAGAGCAAGACTCTGACTCCAAAAAAAAAAAAAATTATATTTAAGGTTTTAAAAAATTTCCAATAAAAGGAACTATAACCTATTTAATTAACAAATTTAATAGGAGGAATTAAGTCAGGTGAAATGGGAGTAAAAGGAGTAACTGACTTATGACAACACTATTGAGTTTGAGTAAGTTATAGAGAAACTGCTGCTGAGCTATACCATCTGTACTAAAGAGAGAAATCTTGTAAAATATATAAAATGATATGCATTCCCCAATACAACTCTATCTCAAAAAGAAACATAAAACAAAGAAAACTGAGTATCCTCAAAAATATGGATCCAATAATTAAATAAATAAAAAGTTCACTTATAATACATGAAAATGCACCAGAAAAAAGTAGCGGTCACTTAAAAGAAATTATATGGATTTAAAAAATATAAGCTTTGGCCAGCCACGGTGGCTCATGCCTGTGATTTCCGCACTTTGAGAGGCCGAGGTGGGCAGATCACGAGGTCAGGAGTTCGAGACCAGTCTGGCCAACATAGTGAAACCCCATCTCTACTAAAAATACAAAACCATCAGCCAGGCTTGAGATAGTGGGCACCTGTAACCCCAGCTACTAGGGAGGCTGAGGCAAAGAGAATCACTTGAACCTGGGAGGTGGAGGTTACAGTGAGCTGAGATCACACCACTGCACTCAATCCTGGGAGACACTGCAAGACTCCATCTCAAAACAAAACAAAAAAAAAGCTTCATTCAACTTCACTAGCTTCCTCAATAAGATCAAAGTCATACTCATTGTAGATGGAAAATAGTGGCAAAGAAAACTGTGGCGTGAGCAGTGGTTCAGGCAACAGTCCTGCAGACGTGAAGCTGTGAACTTGGACAATGTTCTCCCTGAGAGAAATTTCTACACCATTCACTGCTAGCTCAAAAAGGAAGACCATAAGTATATGAGATCCACAGTACCCTTGGGAGATAATTTTGTGACATTTCTAAAAACCCATGATCTTGTGATGTTCTCTATCTGAATATCATGGGAAATGCTGACTATTCTAGCATTAAAGAGTAGACTCTGGCTTTAATAGGCATATCTGTATGTAACAACATGATACTAAAACTTATTACTCAAAGTGCTCTCCCTTCAAGAATTTTCCGTTAACCAATAAACCTACTCCATGAGATAGTCTAAAAGATGTTATTCGTAACCTCAAGGTGGGTGGTCACAACAAATCAAGGATGACATGTCAGACCCTAGAAATGTGTTTATCCAAAGTAAGACTCAGAGGCAAAAAAAAAAAAAAAAAAATCACACAAACATAAAGCGAATAGAAGATGAGGAAGAGCCAAGGCATAACCATACTCGACAGAGCACTGGAAGACAGGGAAAAACACAGTAGTAGGATTAGGAGGGATCTTGAAATGAGACTGTGCTGTCTACAGAAGCCAAGGTAAGAGTTTCAAGACAGAGATATGCTCCCTGTATAGCTCTAAGAATCGAAGAGAGGATGTTTGTGTCAACTGTCTTTCCTATTCTTCTATGTGACAATCTCAGAGGACCCATCTTACTCTGCTGTCACAAACCCAAGAAGAGTGGCCAAAGAAGAACTGAAGAAATGGCTGAGAAAGCTGAACAGGTAGAGAGAGCTTAGGACAGCTCAGTGTAGTTTCTGGGAATGCAGATTCAAAGGAAGAAAAACCAAAGTCTTTCCATCTCCTGACCAGCTCTTTCAAGTATAGGAAATGGGTGGAAACAGGAAAGCACTAGGCATCAGTAAGATGGAAGCCTCAGCTCTGATCTGTATGAACAGAGACTGAGCATCTAGATGAAAGCAAGACCAGGAGGAGAGACCACAGGGACAAGAGATTCCTTTGAAAAGGCCCTTCCCAGGCCACAGAGTCAAAGCACCAGAGTTCACAGAAGACAGATGACACTGCTATCGTAACAGTCTTGTCCTTTTGCTCTGAGCTGCAGCAGCACTGGAGAGTGAAGGGATAAACTGATACATATCTGGAGAGCAGAGTGATAGGTGGGAAGAAAGATTTCAGAGCTCAGAGGAAATCAAATTTGTTTTTCAACCAAACCCTCCCAATTGCAGTTTCCCAAACAGAATTTCATTGTGCCCATCTCAGCTCTTAACTGTGATCACACCTTTCATGCATTCCCCTCCAATTTGGGTTCCTTGCTATTTTCACTTGGCTCACCACGGTCCAGGGCTCTTTCCCTTGCTTCAACATAAAGATAATATTCAGGTCAGCAAGATAGAGTCTGGCTCATGATAAAATAAAGAAAATGTGCTGATGGTGTTCAAGAATTCCAGCCCAATGTTTAGGTAGCAGAGAAAACATTACAGTTGGATCTATAAAATATTTCACAAACTCATCCATTGATTGCCTCCTTCTGAATGCTTAGGGAACAGTATAAGATGCAGACATCTAGCTCTCTTCCAAGAACTACTGAATCAAAAACACAAGGACAGGCCAAGCGTACTGGCTCAAGCCTGTAATATCAGCACTCTGGGGTGCCAAGACCAAAGAATTCCTTGAGCCCAGTAGTTCAAGAGCAGCCTGAGTGACACAGTGGAACCCTGTCTCTACCAGGGCATGGTGGCATGCACCCATAGTTCCAGCTACCTGGGAGGCTGAGGTGGGACGACTGCTTGAGCCAGGAGACAGAGGTTGCAGTGAATCGTGATCGCACCATTGCACTCCAGTCTGGGCAATAAAGCAACATCCTGTCTTAAACAAACAAATTTAAAAGTGCAGGGACAGAAAACAGTGAATTGGATATTTTAACTCTGCCATAAAGTTCGCTGTGTACTTCAGCTCTGGAACCACCACTAACGTACAAAGAAGGCAGCAGAATATCTATAGAAAGGGGACAGTGAAAGGCCTGATGCAGCATTATGAACCTTTTATTTTTTAATCAACAACTTCAGGCTCAAATAATGGAAGGGCTCCCAAGAAAGACAACAGAGAAAATACAAACATGCACAAGGGCAGATCTCAACTTCTAGAAGGAAATTATCCTCACCCAGGAAGACCAGGTTCCTGTAGTTCTCCAACATCACATCCTTGTACAAAGCTTTCTGCATAGGGTCCAGGCATTTCCACTCCTCCTGAGAGAACTCTATGGTCACATCCCTGAATGTCAAAGGTCCCTGAAATGTAAAACACATTTCAAAAAAGAGCAATATGATTTACCTAAAATATGTTTTATTTAACTAAAAAGGAGCACTATGTTTACCTAAAATAAGAAGAGAGAACTGTCATATCACTTTGATTAAAGTGTGTGTTCTGACATATCTATAAAAGGCATCTGTGAGAAAGTCATCTGTCCCTAATTTTAGTTTGTTATAAAACACAATAGAAGACTATTATATTCTCTAAATTAGTGTACATTTCTGTTTGTGGAGAATATAAAAAAAATATACAAATAAGAAAAACACATGGTTATCCCTAAAAAAGTGCTAGATATAATGTTCCATACATCAACTGAGCGTCCAGATGAGCTAGGATGTGAGTGGTGTTTTCAGAGATAACAATGTCTATAGCGGCTTTAAAGAAAAGTCAGAAACTAAAAACTGTGATGACCAGAGCAACAGCAATGACTCAAGTTTTGGAATACTCCCCATGTTCTGGTCATTTCTCCAATTGCTTTACATGTTCTAATTCAAATAACAACATATTAGCCTATGAGAGAGATATTTCTTCCCATGTTACTATGTCACAGACACGCAAACAAACTTGCCTAGGTCAACAACCTGAAAAGAGCAGAGCAAGCATCTGAACCCAAATGTCTGAGAATTAGAGTTCAACCAAAACAATCAAACAGTTAAATTACAGTTACAGTATGTCCTAGTCTCTCTATGCCACCGTAATCAAAGAAGACAGACTGGGTAATTTACGAACAATAGAAATGTATTTCTCATGATTGTGCACGCTGGGAAATCCAAGATCAAGGTGCCAACAGGACTGATGTCTGCTGAGGGATGATCCCTGCTTCCAAGATGGTGTCTTGTTGCATTTCTGGAGGGGAGGAACGCTGTGTCCCCACAAGGCAGAAGGGACAAAAGGGCCAAAAATCATTGAACTCTGTAGGATAAGCGTTTTGAAATCTCATTGTCCAGAATACCATATCCCATTGATAAGGACAGACCCCTGGTGATCCAATCACCTATTAAAACCCAAAACTCACAATACTTGGAGATTGGGCACTGGGGTTTAAGTTTCAAGTGAATTGTGGAGGAGAGAAAAACACTCAGACCACAGCATTCCATCTTGCTCCACCAAATTTCATGTACTCTTCACATAACAAAAGAATTCCATCCCAATGGAAAGTCTAAAAGTTTTCTACTACCAATTCAAAAGTCTAAACACATCCTGAGGCAAACTGCTCTCCAACTGTGAACCTGTGAAATCAAACGACTTAAGTGCTTCCAACATCCAATAGTGGGACAGACACAGGTTACATATTTCAATTCCAAAAGGGAGAAACAGGAAAGAGGTGGCTTTTCCCATCTAAGTCTCAAACTCGAATAGGGCACATGCATTAAATCTTAAGGCTTGACAATAATCTTCTTTGACTCTATGTCCCACATTCTAGACACGCTGGAGTAGGGGCTAGGTCCCCCAGGTCCTGGGGATCCCTGCCGCAGTAGTTTTGTTGGGATCACCCCACATGGAAGTTCTCACAGGCTGTGGTCTCCCGAGCTGGGACCAGATACCAGTGACTCTACAGTTCTGGGGTCTCAGGGGTGGTCCTGCTCCCAGGGCTCCCCTTGACCTTGCCCTCGTAAGGACTCTCTGAGGTGTCCCTGCCCTATGGCTAGACTGAGAATTGCCCTAGTGATGACTTCCTGTGGTAGTACTGAAAGAAACAGGATGAAAGGTTAGGGGCCACTGAGCAAAAAAATGATTGACATAAACCACTGACTAGAGTAACACAAAAGGAAATGAGGGTGAAGATCTAGTACCACAGATGTCTGCAGTACCAGAGTCTACAATAGCACAGAAAACAGGGGAGCTTCTGAGTAGAAATCAGCAAACCTCTTCAATAGGGAGATGACAAGCAAAGGCCCAAAGAGGACACAATCCCCAGTGAGAAAAGGCATGGGAAGTTTCCAGGATCTAGAGTAGTTGATTGGGGTGTCCTCCCTATTCAAAGCAACCACCAAATCTGGGGAGGCAGGTGATTTTTCAAATGCTGGAGTTGCAAAAGAAGACAATAAAACATACAAAGAAATAGGAAAATACGGTCTATTAAAAAAAAAGGAATCCCTACAAATCTACATGAAAGAAAGGGCGATTTACATCTTCACTTTAAAGAATTTAAAAAAATTTGAGTCGGGTGTGACTGCTCACAACTGTAATCCCAGGACTTTTGGAGGACCAGGAGGGAGGATCACTTCAGGGTAGGAGTTCAAGACTAGCCTGGCCAACATTATGAAACCCCATGTCTACTAAATATACAAAAGTTAGTTGGGCATGGTGGCACATGGCTGTAATCTGAGGCTGAGGCATGAGAATCACTTCAACCAGAGGCGGAGGTTACAGTGAGTTGAGATTGCAACACTGCATTCCACCCTCGGCAACAGAGTGTGACTCTATCTCAAAAAATAAAACAATAAAAAAGAAAAAGAAAAGGCAAAAGAAAAAGAAAAAGAAAGTCTGAAGCTAAAATCACAACTGAGTTGACCAATTCACTAGATGAGTTCAATAGAAGGCTTAATCATGAAGAAGGAATCAGTTAACTCAAAGGGGATTTTGACAGGGAGGGGAAGAAAAATTATTAAAAAAAAGAAAGAAAATGTCGAGTTGGGCAGATCACCTGAGGTCAAGAGTTTGAGACAAGCCTGGCCAGCATGGTGAAACCCCATCTCTACCAAAAATAAAAAAGTAGCCGGGTGTGGTGGCCCATGTCTGTAGTTCTAGCTCCTAAGGGAGATTGAGGCAGGAGAATTGCTTGAACCCAGGAGGCAGAGGTTGCAGTGAGCCAGGATTGTGCTACTGCACTCCAACCTGGGCAACAGAGTGAGACTCCATCTCAAAAAAGAAGGAAGGAAGGAGGCAAGGAGGGAGGGCAGGCAGGAAGGCAGGAAAATGAAGACAGCCTAACAGACTGATGAAAAACCACCAAACACCAAGAACATATGCATTCTGGGAGTCCAATGAACAATGTGAATATATCTAACATTACTGAACTACAGTAATATGTTATCAAAGACTGACAAGCTCAATTCTTTTTTTTCCTGACATGGAGTTTTGCTCTTGTTGCCCAGGCTGGAGTACAATGGTGTGATCTTAGCTCACCGCAACCTCTGCCTCCCAGGTTCAAGCGATTCTCCTGCCTCAGCCTCCCGAGTAGCTGGGATTACAGGCATGTGCCACCATGCCCAGCTAGTTTTGTACTTTTAGTAGAGATGGGGTTTCTCCACGTTGGTCAGGCTGGTCTCAAACTCCTGACCTCAGGTGATCTGCCCGCCTCGGCCTCCCAAAGTGCTGGTGGCTCACAGGTATGAGCCACAGCGCCCGGCCTCAAACTCAATTCTTAATCGAAGACGTGGTGACATAAAGACCTGCAGCTTAAAAAATTCAGAGCCATTCAAACACAAAAGAAATATGTGAATTTGTCTTTCTTTCTTTTTTTTTTTTAAGACAAGTCTTACTCTGTTGCTCAGGCAAGAGTGCAGTGGTGTGATCTCAGCTCACTGCAACCTCTGCCTCCTGGGTTCAAGTGATTCTCCTGCCTCAGCCTCCCAAGGAGTTGAGATTACAGACATGTACCACCACGCCTGGCTAATATTCGTAGTTTTAATAGAGACAGGGTTTCACCATGTTGGTCAGGCTGATATTGAACTCCTGACCTCAGGTGATCCACCCACGTTGGCCTTCCAAAGTGGCTGGATTACAGGCATAAGCCACCGCGCCAGGCCAATATGTGGAATTTAAATAATATGTGATTGTGTTGTGTAAAAGGAGAACCAAAATAATTTTGGAAAGAAAATGGAAGGGTTTGCCAACTTACATGTGAACCTATTATCATATTTATAATTTTTTTTATTCTTTAAAATACAAATTACATCAGCCCAAAATGTCAGATATTTATAATCTAGAACTTTATAATCAAATATAATCTACAACAAAACATACACAAAAATTCAAATTAAAGATTTGTGCAAACAAAATGTAAGCAACAAAACATTAGATCTAAAAGAAACACGTATTTTATAATCACACAGTGAGGCAGGCCTTCCAAAAGATCAAACACTTATTTATCCCAATCTGAAGGAATCCTCAGACACCTGTGGTGAAGACAGCATTATGGCAGCCGTGGTGACATTCTTTGAAACAGTGAAAAATTGTAAAAGATCCGTATGTCTTCATTTAGACATTGTTCCAAACAGGATGCAACACAAGCTACTAGTGTTTATTAACATAAAAAATATGTACATTCCAAAAACTGGCCCAATAAAATTTCACAACAGAACATTCACAGAAGAATTGTTCTCTAAAATCTCACAATGACACATAAATGCATCTTGACACCGCTCAGTGACTCTTGCAATAGAACTTACAACTGTAGCTCCCCACTGAAACATGAGGGATAATGGAGATCATGACAGGGAAAAGGAACCTGGGTTCCTCCGGTTTGGAGAACTGATAGAGTGATCGCCTCTTTAGGATGGTGCATTTCCTCTTTTCCTGGATCTGGCAAGACTTCCCACTACCCTGAGGGGCAACGCTGTCCTTATAGACCAATGAAGCATGAGATTTCCCACTCATTAAAAAAAGAACTTACAACTATGTTCTATTTACATTTTGAGGATATGGAGAAAATGAAAACCCTTTGTATTTCCATTTTCCAATTTCTTGGACTGTGAGGGGGTTTCATTATTTTATGGAAATCAAACCAAAATACTTTTCATTCTTTGCTCAATTTTCTTTTACTGCCTTCTAGGACCCATTTCATATTCTGTAAATTTTTTAAATATAAATGGCTTGATGTCCTTTTCTTAGGTTATAATTTTTTTCCTATGTCAAACTAAAATGTTTCCTTGATGCCCACTTTAGTTTGCTGATAAATTTCATTGTGTATATTTAAGGTATACAACATAATATTATGGTATGAATAGTAAAAAAGTCACTAGAGTTTAACAAATTAACATATCCATCATTTCAGTTACTTTTGTTTTTTTCTGTTTTTGCCAGAACAGCTAAAATCTCATTTGGCATGAATTTCATAAATAATAAAGTATATTTTCAGGCGGCCAGGTGTGGTGGCTAACACCTGTAATCCCAGCACTTTGGGAGGCGAAGCACAAGGTCAAGAATTCAAGAACAGCCTGGCCTACACAGTAAGACCTCCCCATCTCTACTAAAAATACAAAAATTAGCTGGGTATAGTGGTGCACACCTGTAATTCCAGCTATCGCAAGGATGAGGCAAGAGAATCACTTGAACCTGGGAGGTGGAGGTGGCAGTGAGCCGAGATCACACCACTGCACTCCAGCTAGGGCAACAAGAGTGAAACTCCATCTCAAAAAACAAACAAAGGTCATAGAAAATATCTCAGCAACATATACCTTAAGAAATTACTAGATAATTAATACTCAGGCCAAGAATGAAATTGGAAAAAAAATCATGATATTAAACAAGAAGATCTCAAAAAACATCATAATCAACAGTAAACATGGGATCCATTTCTTCTAATTTAAGGCAAGGAAAAGGGCACTGGTCTGTGTTGCAGACAATCATCACCACACAGGAGGCCTCAGCAGGGACCAGAAGCAGAGGAAAAAAAACAGAAAAAAAAAAAAAAAAAAAAAAAAAAGTAGGGGTAGGAGGCAGGAAAAAACAGGATCTGTTAGAACTAAGGAATGACAGGCCTATAACCAAAACAGAACGCCATTTTAGCATATTAACTAATACAAGGCCTCGCACGGTGGCTCATGCCTATAATCCCAGCACTTCGGGAGGCCAAGGCGGGTGGATCACGAGGTCAGCAGCTTGAGACCATCATGGCTAACACGGTGAAACCCTGCCTCTACTGAAAATACAAAAAATTAGCCGGGCGTGGTGGCATGTGCCTATAGTTCCAGCTACTTGGGAGGCTGAGGCAGGAGAATTGCTTGAACCTGGTAGGCAGATGTTGCAGTGAGCCAAGATCGCGCCACTGCACTGCAGCCTGGGTGACAGAGTGAGACTCCATCTTAAAAAAATTAAAATTAAAATTAAAAAATAAATACAAATAAATTGAAAACAAGTTTCCTTTCTTAGCAGCACTTATTATAAATGACACACACACGCAAGAAACATTCTACATCTCCCCGATCAAATATACATGCCCCTAACTAAAAGGTATTCCAGACCTGTGTAAGAAACCTGTAACTCTACTAAAAGAGTAATGTCAGTAAGACAGAGGAATAGGAAGCCAAAGACCTTTCTGTCCCCATGAAGACAAAAATTAAACAATACACGGGCCAAGTGCCTTTGTGAGAAATGCAGGCCCTCAGCAAGTTCCTACACCCCAATGAAGCACCAAATCAACCTGCTGGGAGCCCAGTGGGAAAATGTGTGAGCCCATTAGCCTGAGCCCCTGCTCAGACATGACGTGCCATCATCCAGAGGAAATTACAAAGTCCAGATTTTTCCTGAGGGACAACGTTCTGTCTTGATTGAACATAAGCACTGAAGTAACAGGACACCAGATCAGGAAGCCACAGAGAACAAAGGCACCAGCATAAACCAGAGGGCGCAGTAACGCGGGCAGACACTAGGTGGTGGTGCAGACCTCAGCTTCCTATGGCCACACACAGGCTGCAGAGCAGGTGCAGAAAAGAGAGCTCCTGAGCAGAACCTGGCCACCCACTTCAGTTAGGAGATGACAAGCAAAGCCCCGAGAGGGCACATCCCAGACAAGGCTGGGGACCTCCAGAGTCTCTTCCTGGGCTGATTGGTGCATGCGCTCCCTGAACCACGCCAGGCACAAAAGACTAGAGATGTGACTGATATTTTTTTGAGATGGAGTCTGGCTCTGTCCCTCAGGCTGGAGTGCAATGGCGCAATCTCGGCTTACTGCAACCTCTGTCTCCCGGGTTCAAGCAATTCTGCTGCCTCAGACTCCTGAGTAGCTGGGATTACAGGCATGCGCCACCACACCCAGCTAATTTTTGCATTTTTAGTAGAGACGGGGTTTCACCATGTTGGCCAGGCTGGTCTCAAATTCCAGACTTCAGGTGACCTGCTCACCTCAGCCTCCCAAAATGCTGGGATTACAGGAGTGAGTCACCGCACCTGGCCAAAATGACTTGATTTCTAATTCAGAGAACGTTCACATGAGGATGTAAAGGAGCAAGGAATCCACCTTCCTAACACAAAAACATGCAAATTTTCACAACTTTTGGAATGAAACATCACAACGAAACAATCACTGAGGCTTTTATTTAAAATACCATAATGCTGTATAAATATATTTCTACAGGACTTGTTCTTGCTCTTGACACAAAGCTGACAGCAGTGAGTTGCCAGTGAGACAGAAGGAGGGTGGAAGGCCGCACAGGGCAGGCGAGGCTTTGTAATTGATAGCCTAAGCTGGATGTTTAGTGTCTTCCTATAGAACAAATATACATATAATTCGATGTTTATGATTAAAAATTTAACAATCAGCCGGGTATTCTGGCTCATGCCTGTAATCCCAGCACTTATGGAGGCCGAGGCAGGTGGATTACCTGAGAGCAGGAGTTCAAGACGAGTCTGGGCAACACGGAGAAACCCTGTCTTTACTAAAAACACAAAAATTAGCCAGGCTTAATGGCACACACATGAAATCCCAGCTACTAAGGAGGCTGAGGCAGGAGAATCGCTTGAGCCCAGGAGGTGGAGTTTGCACTGAGCTGAGACTGTGCTGCTGTACTCCACCCTGGGTGACAAGTGCAAAACTCCATCTCAAAAAAAAAATAATAATAATAACAATAATTGGCAGAACAAGAATGGATATAATTTCTAACTCTTTAATGATAAAAAAATCTGCTACAATCTCTGAGCAAAACTATAGCTTTCTTCACTAATACAGATGCTGTACAAGATTCCCTTCAGGAACATCAGTCTCCATGGGAGGGGCATTCTGAGAAAGAAGAAAGAACGTCTTCCCTGAACCAAGCAAGAAACAAGAAACTAGGAAAAGTGTTTATCTTCAAATGTAGTAAAAATCAGATAGAAAAGATTTCTCCTTCCTGAACTCCCTTTCCAGAATTTACCAGGTACTTGTGCACATTAACATGTGACTTCCACATGCAGTTTCTCTACTCCTGGTCCACAGACACCTGAAAGTGCCTCCAGATGTGGACTCTACATAAACCATGCTGCCCAACAGCTCTGACACCACGGGGCCCACACTCCATCTCCATCCACGTCTGGGGGTGAGCCAGGACCATGTCCAGTGTAGCCTCTTCCCAAATGCATGTCACTGGGTCACAGGAGATGGAATCTAAATCAGATGAGAGGGACTGAGGGAAGGCATGGGTGAGTGCCAGCAAACGTATCAGGCTGAATGCTTCTGGCATTTCAGAAAGAAACAGAAATAGAACAATCCACCAAGAATATCACTTTACCTGAGAAACAGCCATCCCTGACTCCTTTGCTTTCCTCTTCTGGGCTTCTTCATCACATAGCATGACTGTTCAGAAGTCAATCCTAAATGTCAAAAAATATGCTGATTACTGCTCAGAATCAACACATTCCGCTTCCTGTGCCACAACCACACACATAGGTTAGACCTCAGCCTGTGGAAAGGTGTCCTCCGCTGCCCACTGCACCAGAGTTTCTTGTTCTAGGAACAAGAATGCTCCCCTCCTGGAAGCCCACACACATGCTGCAGCAGTGGGGAGCTGGGCTGGACTGAGCTGCCCCATTCAGGACACAGACTCAGCCCTGATCTAACCCCATGCAGAACACAGCCTCCTTCCCCTCTCTGTGGATCCCAGGTTCATGTAATCCCTCACAAATGGAGGACAGACAGCCTTGGTGCTCAGTGCCAGATACACAACACAGTGGAATCCCCTATCCATGAGGGATATGTTCCAACATGCCCAGTGGATACCTGGAACCTCAAACAGGACTGAACTCTATTTACTGCACTTAAATTATGCATGTGACAGCTTCTCATTGACATATCCAAATTGCCAGCAACAATATCCATGTACTTGGGTGATACTGTTAAGTAAAATAATGGTTAATTAAACAAAAGGACTGAGATACCCCAAAAGTTAAGACCAGATCAAAAAGAAGACTACTTTTTTTTTGAGAGAGAGAGAGTTTTACTCTTGTTGCCCAGGCTGGAGAGCAATGGGGTGATCTTGGCTCACTGCAACCTCTACCTCCCAGCTTCAAGCAATTCTCCTGTCTCAGCCTCCCAAGTAGCTGGGATTACAGATGCCCGCCATCTTGCCCAGCTCTTACATCTGAGCAAAATTATAACCTTAAAACTTAAAACAACTGCTGGTAAGCATCCCTGCATGAACACTGCAGTCTCTGTGGATGGATATTCTGACCATGGCTAGGAAAATCGGATGTTCAGGCTGATTTCACATTTTTAAATCAATGATGGAATAAAACATGCTCTGATGTCTGTATCTAATTTTCCATTCCATTACCAGTCATTAAGGTGGTGGAGGTAGAAATAGCGACTATTCATACAGCTTCAAATATAGTACAAAATCAGGCAGAAAGATCTCCCTTTACAGTCCTCCTTTCCATATACATACATATATACATACCTACATATACATACAAATTTTTTTTTTAGGACAAAGTCTTGCTCTGTCCTCAAAAAAAGGACAGGCTGTAGTGCAGTGGTACCATCCCGGCTCACTGCAACCCCCACCTCCGGGTTCAAGCTACTCAGCCTCCTAACTGCGATAACAGGCAACTGCCACCATAATTGGCTAATTTCTGTATTTTTTTACTAGAGACAAGGTTTTACAATGTTGGCTAGCTGGTCTCAAACTCCTGACCTCAAGTGATCCACCCGCCTCGGCCTCCTAAAGTGCTGAGATTACAGGAGTGAGCTACGGCACCTGGCCACTTTTGATAATTTACTAGGTATTTATGCACGTTAATATATGACTTCCACATGCAGCTTCTCTATTCCTGGTCTACAGAGAGGTGACAGTGCAGCCAGATGTGGCCCCTAAACAATCCCTACAGCCCAACAGCTCTGACACCATGGGGCCCACACCTGGGCTCCATCCACATCTGGGTGTGAGCCCTTCCCAGGACGATGTCCAGTGGAGCCTCTTCCCAGGTTCATGTCACTGGGTCATGGGAAGATGGAATCTAAGTAAGATGAGAGGGACTGAGGAAAGGCATAAATGAGTGTGAGCAAACGTGTCAGGCAGGATGCCTGAGACTCAGAGAAGATTCACAACTCCAACACCCCACATTTCACAAGGGAAGGAGAGAAAATGACCCACCGAAAATATCACTTTACCTGAGAAAGAGCCATCCCTTACTCCTTTTCTATCCTCTTCCTCCTCTTCTGGGTTTCTTTCTCAGTCAATGTAATTCTTCACACATCAAACCTGAAAGGCAAAAATATGTGGTTTAATGTTGTTTAACAAATTCCTTTCTGTGCCACAACCATGCACACAGGGAAGACCTCAGCATGTGGACACAGCTCACTGCACAGGGGGGATAAGGACAATAAATTCCTACACAAAGACCAAGTGACTCTTTCACCATTTTCTTCAGCACTTGCTTCCCTCCTGGAGAAGCCCACACTCACACTGCAGCAGCGGGGAGCTGGGCTGGACTGAGCTCCCATTCAGGGCACAGACCCATCCCTGATCAAACCCCATGCAGAGCACGGACCTGCTCACCTCTGTGGGTCACAGGCTGAGCTCAGTCCTCGGAAATGGAGGACACAAAGGCTTGAAGCGCAACGCTGGACAGAAATTAGAATCAGCTTGGGGCTGGGGCATGGTGGCTTATGCCTGTAATCCCAGCACTTGGGGAAGCTGAGGCAGGTGGATCACCTGAAGTCAGGAGTTCGAGACCAGCCTGGCCAACATGGTGAAACCCGTCTCTACTAAAAATATAAAAATTAGCTGGGTGTGGTGGTGTACACCTCTAATCCCATTTACTTGGAAGGCTGAAGCAGGAGAATTGCTTGAGCCTGGGAGGCAGATGTTACAGTGAGCTGAGATCAACCCATTCCACTCTAGCCGGGGCGACAAGAGCAAAACTCCACCTCCAAAAAAAAAAAAGAATCAACTTGGGTACCTTAAACATTACAGAGGCTGGGTCCCACCCTAACTATTAGAAGGAGAATCTCTAGTAAGGGATCACAAACCATGTGCTACTACAAATGCCTCAGCACTCTAGCGTGAAGCCAGGATTGAGTACATCTCAAAGGGGCCAAGACTACCATAGCCCCAGCCTCCCAGCTCTGTATCCCCTTGGGGCTGTATTGTCACCAGTTTATAGAAAAGCAGAAGGCAAAGGACCAGAAGAAACACACAGAGCAGAAAATATGGGCCTGCTTTTATTTGCAATCCTAGAATCAGGCAACACCTAATTCTTAAAATGAAAGGAGTGTACTGATGAGCTGAGGGGAGGAGGTTGGCTTCATAAGCTGAAAAGGGCTGCATGGAGCAGAATCAGGAAATTAACAGCAGGCTGATTGTGTCAAAGTTACTTTTCTTTGGGATGCCATTTTCCCCAGATCCTCAAAATGTAAAAATAACACAGCAGTAAGTTTGGTTTAGATGAGTGGGAAACCTCATGTGATGCTGGTGGGTGAGAGCAGCTTTGCAGCTCGGGGTAGTGGGAAATCTTGCCAGATTACCTGCAACTGAGGGACCCTTCTAGGCAAAGGGACAGCCCAGGTGGACGCCCTCAATCAGGAGCAACCTAGGCCCCAGGAACAGCAAAGAGGCCTGTGTAGCTGAAGCAGAAGGAAAGAGAAGGACACAGGTAGAAAATGAGGTCAGAGAGGTCCCGAGGCAGCAGATCAGGTAGGGATGAGGTCCTCAAACATTTTTCTCCCACAGCTCACAGCACTTTCGGACACTATGCATTTCCCCACCGTTTTAAGTAACTGTAACTTTCCTTTTATATTTGAATTAAAACACTTCTATATAATGTCATATCTTCTCTATTTCAAATATATGCTGATATGTGAAGCTAAGGCCAAGAAGTATAGTCACCTACATCTCAGATGTTCAGGATCGCAGGGGAATGTACTTGGTGAGTTCGGAAGTCACTTTGGATACATAATGGTGGAGATGTCTCTCAGAGGGCTGAGCAGACAGATGACGAGACAACAGGATAAAGGATTCTAGAGTTCAGGGGACAGTTCTGCAGGGGACATGGAGACACATAAGGTGGGTGATATGGATAAAGTTTGTGTCCCCGGCCCAAGTCTCAAATTGAGACAGGCTTACAGACTTCCATGGGGTCCCACACCCTTCCCAGATATTCTATGGTGCTCCCCATATCCTGCTGCAAAATCCCACATGCCCCAACAACTCATAAACTCATTCTGAACTAATATACAAAGATACTGAGGACTCAATGACCTAAGACACCCTATTCCATTCATAAGGACCTCACCACGAAACACTGGCACCACCATCTACTAAAACAGATGTCTCAACGGTGCACATGCCCCAGTGAGACTCCAACATCTTCCAAAGAAACTCTCCATATTGACATTTGGATATTCCAAAACACATCTATAACCATCTTAACTTGCAGTTCATGATATTCCAAAAAACAAAGGTAACCCCTTAAAAGATCTCTGAGATTTTCCAGATAATACTTCTGTGAGTTGCATGATGATTCTTGCACTCCCAAAAGACATTGCAGACATCTCCATCAAGAGTGCTGACTGCGGTGCCGCTCTGGGGACCAATGAACCAACTCTCCAGATGCCCACCCTCCCTGTGGGCTGAGCTTAGGCCTTGCTTCTCACTTCAGTTAATCCTAGAACAATATGGGTTTGCATTGTGTGGGTCCACTTATAAAAGAATTTTCTTCGATAAACATTTTGAAAGCTATTTTAAAGATTTGTAACAACTTGAAAAAACTCACAGATGAACCATATAGCCTAATTATTTAAAAAGGTTGGCAGGAGCCGGGTGTGGTGGCTCATGCCAGCAATCCCACTTCGGGAGGCAGAAGTGGGTGGATCACCTGAGGTCAGGAGTCCAAGACCAGCCTGGTCAACATGGCAAAACCCTGTCTCTACTAAAAATACAAAAAATTAGCCAGGGGTTGTGGCACGTGCCTGTAATCCCAGCTACTTGGGTGGCTGAGGAAGGAGAAATGCTTGAATCTGGGGTTGCAGTGAGCCGAGATCGTGCCACTGCACTCCGGCATGGGCGACAGAGCAAGACTCTATCTCAAAAAGGAAAAGGTATGTAAGGAATTTGTAAAATATACATTTAAGTCTATCATTTACAACCATAAAATATATAGAAATCAGCTGGGCACGGTGGCTCACGCCTATAATCCCAACACTTTGGGAGGCCGAGGTGGGCAGATCACCTGAGGGCAGGAGTTTGACATCAGCCTGACCAACATGGTGAAACCCCGTCTCTACTAAAATAAAAAATTAGCTGGGCATAGTGGCTGGAGCCTGTAGTCTCTAAGCTACTTGGGAGGCTGAGGCGGGGAATCGCTTGAACCAAGGAGGCGGAGGTTGTAGTAAGCCCAGATCACATCACTGCACTCCTGGGCAACAAGAGTCAGACTCCATCTCAGAAAAAAAAAAAAAAAAAAAAAAAAAAAAAGCCATACAAATGACCAATAGGTATATGAAAAGGTGTTCAAGATAACTAATCACCAGGGAAATACAAATCAAAACCACCATAAGCTATCACCTCATACCTCTCAGGAAGGCTATTATAAAATAGGCAAGAGTTAACAAGTATTAGCAATGATATGGAGAAAAATGAGCCCGTGTACACTGTTGCTGTGAGTGCAAATCAGTACAGCCATTATGAAAAACAGTATGGATGTTCTTCAAAATATTAAAAATAGAACAACAATGAAATCCAACAATCCCATTCCTGGGTATATATCCAAAAGAAATGCAATCAGTATGTTGAAGAGACATCTAGGTCAGGCACGGTAGTTCATGCCTATAATCCTAGCACTCTGAAAAGCTGAGCCAGGAGGATTGCTTAAGACCAGAAGTTAGAGACCAGCCTGGACAAAACAGCGAAATCATGCCTCTACTTAAAAAAAAAAAAAAAAAAAATTAGGAACCTCTGTCTCCCATGATTACTACAGTATTATTCACAACAGCCAAGATATAGAAACAACCTAAGTGCCCATCCATGAATGCATATGTAATGAAAATGTGTGTGCATATATAGTTATGTGTGTGTATATACATGGATATAGAGTGGGTATGTGTGTACACTTATATAATGGAATATTATTTAAGCATAAAAAATAAAATCCTGCAATTTCCAATTTCCAACAACATGGATGAATTCGGAGGACATTATGCTGGGTGATATAAGACAGACACAGAAAGAACACTGTTATGTTCTCACAAGTAGAATCTAAAAAAGTCCAATTCATAGTAACAGGGCAGAACGGTTGTTGCCACAGGATGGTGGGTGGGGAAAATGGAGAAACATTGCTCAAAGGGTACAAATTCTCAGTTATAAAATAAAGAAGTTCTGAGGAATCTAACGTATTCCATGGTGAATATACTGTATTGGATATTTTAACATTTTGAAAAGTTTTTGAACAATCTAATGAATAATGGGGTAAAAGTTAAAAAAAAGGCAATATTTAGAAATTACTGACCAATTGATTAGGATGCCATCAAATCTTATTTCAGAAGTTACCAATTATTTATAGAAGAAACTGAATAAACTAAAATTTATCTCAAACTTCCAAAATAACAATGAATTAACTGTAAAGCAACTACAAGGAAAAAAGTAAATCCATTAACAAAACAAAACAAAAAAACCACTCTCAACCTTCCTTCAGAGAAGGCCTGCATTCCTTCATTGTAGGCTTGGAGTGGTGGTTAACACATGTAATCCCAGCACCTTCAGGGGCTGAGGAGGAAGGACTGCTTGAGCCCAGGAGGTCCAGGATGCAGTGAGCCATGTAATGTTACTGCACTCCAGCCTAGGCGACAGAGAGAGACCCTGACTCAAAAAGAAAAAAATAAAACAGGACAAAACAAAAAAAACAAAGATATATCTTGGAGTGACAGTCATTTCTTGCCTACTTTTTCCCTCCTCCATCCTCTACTCCATCCCTGGACAGAAGAGTTACAACATGACTGAATCAAGTCTCTGCCCATGGCTAAATAGGGATTCCAAGTATCTTTTGATACAAATAAATACAAAATTCAAAAGCCTTATAAGAAAGAGTGGTAATTTTCATCCTCATGAGTACAATTTAAAGAAACAAATTTTAAATTAGAGTATAAAGCCACAAATTAGAGGATTACAACTACCATCCATGTCCAATCAACTCACCGCTCATCTGGATGGGGTCCTCTCCCACTTTCTTCAAGACCATGTTTCCCTCTCTCATTCTGCACGTGCCTTTTCTTCCCCTTTTCTGTTCCCTCTTTTATGCCTGTTCTGCCCAATGCTCCCCAACTTATTTCACCTCTTGTTGCTCTTTCTCCCCAAACTTTCCGATTGTCCCCAATCTCCCGTATTTCTGCCTCTTCTCCCATCTGAGCTCCCTCTCTGCTCTCCTGTTAAATTCCCTCTTCCCTGTTACATCTCCTTTGTTCCCACTCTCTAGCACCTCCCACTTCCTAGGCTTCCTCCCTTCGGTGGTTTTCCTACTCTGCTTTGTCACCCACTGCCCTCTCTTTCAATCCCAGCACCACGTGGCTATGTCAGCCGCGGCTCCAACTCTTTCACTTTCTCCCCGCTGTCTGCAGTGCCTCCTCCTTTGCCGCCCCTCTCTATTTTGCTGCTTTTCCTCTCCCTGAAGGTTCCCCTTTTCCCTAATTGCTCTATGCGCTTTTCTTCCCTGCTACTTTCTCCCTGCGTCCTCTTTCACTCTTGCTCTTTGCAGGTCCCTAAATTATCACCCATTCTGCCGTGTATTTATGGGTCTCCCTCATTCTTTTCTCCTCGGTTTTTCCTTTTGCTCCGTCGCGCCCCCTCTTTACCTCTCCTGATCCCTCTCACCCACGCATTCAGAAGGAAAGGGAAGGAAGAAGGTGTCCACCTGGCAGAAGAGCACACTTTCCAGCAGAGTAAAATTTGGGAAAGAAGAACACTGGATGTGACGAGACAGACTCAGGTCACCTCCCCCAACGCGGGGTCAGGGAAAGCAGTGGCTGTGAAGGGGAAGCCTGGGGAGCAGAAGGACCCGGCCTGAGGAGGACACAAGGTGGTGGGGGACGGAGTCTCACAACAGGGAGGGTCTGCAGAATCCCAGGACCTGGGAGGAGAAGCGGCTACTTCAGGAGCCGGGCGGCGGGAGCTCCCCTGCGGGAGCCGACAGCGGAGACGCTCGGGGGTGACGACAGGCGGGAATCCACCCTGCGAGTGAGGACTCGACTTGGCCCGGGGCCCAAGCAGAGGTCAACAAGGGTTTTAAGCAGAAACACGACCTGAATGGGGTTGTCTACATGATCCTAACGCAGAAAGGCGGGGAGCAAGGAACAGCCTGAGAGATTTTAAACCGAAAGGGAGGCAAAAATCGGACTTACTTGGGACGAAGGGGCCGCTGCGGGTATTTGCAGGTATTTTAAGGTCCATAGCGATCCCCAGGTCATGGGTATGGATAATGGACTGCGAAGCGCATGTTTAATCCAGGTACATGGAACGAAGTAAACGTTTAATCCAGGTACACGGAACGAAGCAAACGTTTAGTCCAGGTAGACGAGAACACAGGCACAGCGACGAGGATTTTGCCCGGCGCGATCTGCATCCGGGTGTGCCGGAAACTGGGAGAGGAAAGAAAAGGCTGTGCGGCCTGAGGGCGGGGCCTGGGCGGGGCACGGCTGGGAAGGGGCGGGGCGGAAAGACCGGCCTGACTTGGGGAGGGGCCCTGAGAGAGTGGTGGGAGGTCGGGGCTCTAGAGGGCGTAACTAGGTGGGGCTTGGCTGGGCCGAAAAGCGGGGATGATGCGGGTCCTCCAGGGGTGGGCGGGGCCTGTTCTCCACTCGGCCTGTCACCCAGCAGGATTTTGTTTTCCAGATCTGGGAATATTTGTGACTATTCCTTGTCCTGTGAAGCACCGTTGCTTCTTGCCCATCTTAAGTTAATGTTTCAGAATTTAAGGTTGAAGCTTAAAATTATGATCTCACTTATATTGAAAACTAAGATGATTTCTTCTTAAGGTGAACTGATTTAAGTCAAAACCGATTTTTGCGAGCCTGGTGGACTCCATCCAGTCTTACCAGAGAAGCTGAAGCTACTCAGTAGTCAGGGAACTAGGATCTCGGTGGGGATTGGATGTGGGGCGGTGACTGGATCCAGGAACCCAGAAGACATTCTGTGCTAGACACAGAACGACAAATACTTCATGCACTTACTTACATGTGCAAAGTACAAATGTCAAATTCACAGTAGTTCACATAAGAGGTAGTTGTTTAAAACAGCCTAGCACCTCCTCCTCTCTCTTGCTCCCTTTTGCCTTGTTAGATATCAGCTTCCTCTTTTCCTTCCACCATGACAGGAAGTTTCCCAGGGCTTCACCAGAAGCCATCCAGATGCTGGTGCCATGCTTGTACAGCCTGCAGAACTGTGAGCCAAACAAACCTCTTTTTTTTTTTTTTTAGAAATTACCCAGTCTGAGGCATTTTTTTATAGCAGTGCAAAATGGACTAACACAGACAGGGTTTCTTCAAAACATCCTATAGCCTCAAATAACAATGGCTTACCTGATCCACAATGTAAATAGAATGGAAAAAGTTACATATAAAAAAAGTCAAACAAAAGAAAAAATAATTGTCTACATATTAATATCTTATAATCTTCACAGGTACATATTGTCAGCACCTTCTGAGCATATGTCACAGGTGTGCGTCCTTAAGTTTGGCAAAATAAACCCTAAATTGACTGAGACCTGCCTCAGATATTTGGTGTTCAGATTTTGGTAAACATGGAGGAATTCTGACAAATTCCCCTGGCCTTTGACAAATCTCTTATTGGTGCTTGGTACCAGCTTGAGCTGTCTCTATGGCTCAGTAGGACAATTTGCTGAGGCCTGGGAGCACCCACTCCAGAGAATCACTGATCTTGCCAAATTTGGTCAAGATCCAAAGTTTATTTTGCCAAACAACTCCTTTTTTAGAGAGGAGGTTTTACTTTCTTCCATCAAGAAAGATACCTTTTCCTGCTTCCATGAGAATGGAAGGCAGGTAACTTCTTTCTGGAGTTCGAACTTTCTTCCAACAAGTAAGGAAAGTTTCAGGTTTTTCCTGCTTCTAGAATGGTAGAGAGCAGTCTTCAGCCTGAGACCCCTAATAGGTAAGTAGCTGAATTGGGGTTCTGTCTTGGCTAAAATTAATATTAACAACCAGCTGGTTGTAATTTCTCCTTACCATTAGAGTGCTCAGTAATCATATATATAGGTTTAATGGAAATAGCTAAATCTTGCATTATTTAGTCAAATAGCCATATATTTAATTTTGAGGTTATTAGGTAAACACCTGAAATTCATAGGCTGTATAATGGTTGATAGGGTAATAACTGTAACTGTCCAGTGGGTTCACCTTGCCCACTGCCTAGAGGGAGCCAACTTATCAACACAGAATAACTGCAATAGAGAAGGGGTAATTAACACAGAACTGGCTGTGCAGGAGACATGAGTTTTATTATTACTCAAATCAATCTCCCTGGAAAACCAGGGATCAGAGTTTTTAAGAATAATTTGGTGGTTAGAGGGCCAGTGGGCAGGAGTTCTGATTGGTAGGGTTGCAGATGAAATTATAGGAAGTTGAAGCTGTTCTCTTATGCTGAGTCAGTTTTTGGGTGGGGGTTGTCAGACCAGATGAGCTAGTTTATTGATCTGGTTGGTGCCATCTGATCCACTGAGTGCAAGTTCTGCACAATATCTTGAGCACGGATCTTGGGGATCTATTCACAATAATGATGTTATCCCCAGGAGGAATTTGGGGAGATTGAGACTATTGCAGCCTCCAACTGCATGACTCCTAAACCATAATGTCTAATCTTGCGGCTTTAGGAAGCCTAGTCCCCCGGCAGGAAGAAGGTTTGTTTTGGGAAAGGACTGTTGTCATCTTCGTTTTAAAGACAATCCATAAACTAGCTTCCCCCAAAGTTGGCTCCACTCTATGACCAGGAATGAGTAAGGACAGCTTGGAGGTTAGAAGCAAGATGAAGTCAGGTCAAATCTCTTTCACTGTCTCAGTTACAATGTTGCAATGGTGGTTTTATAAATGTAAATGATGACTATCGCAGTTTTCATAAACAATCTGGCTAAACTATGATAATAATTAGGTAAATGTAATGGGATAAATACTGGTAGACAAACAACATAATTTACAATCTAAAGTTATATTGAGTTAAATTATATTTTATTAATTGGGTATTTTCCAAGGAAAAATATTATAGGAAAACACTCTTCAAAAAAATGTGTCCTTTTTAGAAGGTAAATAATTTTTGTCTAATTCAAAGCTTAGCTAAAGGCTATGTATAAAACAAGGTAAAAGGAACCAGGAAACAAGAAAGATGTAAAGAAAGTTATAGAAATAAAGACTCTGTCTCAAAAAAAAAGTTACAGAAATAATGAGGTATTTTTGGGCCTGGCCTGGTGGCTCATTCTTGTAATTCCAGCACTTTGGGCTTGAACAGCAAATGAATTTTTATGGTTCATTTTCTCCCACAAACTTAACAGCATTAAAATGTATGAGATGTAATATTTATTACAACAGGTTTTGAGGGTGGAAACAAGTAATCGGTCTTACAATCTGCTGGAAGCATGACAGAACTTACCGACATTTTCAAGAAAAAACAACAAAGAAAGAAGTCATCAAACAAGATGGTAAGTTGACAAAGGCACAGTGCTCCATAACTGCTTCACATTGTGTGCACAATAAATCCTCTCAGAGAGAGGAGAGGAGTGATGCCAAATGGGCCTGCATTTGAGCTGCAGGCGCTACCACTGGTGTTATTCCAACAACCAAGGCTCTACAACACCCCTCTGGATAACAAAGTGCAAGACAAAAACTGTGAAACAAAGGAAAGCGAAAGTAGCAATGAAAGCCCAGAGGAATACACACAGTGCAAATACAGTGCTGTAAACTCAGTGAAAGGAGTTTTTGATTGAAGTATGAACTTGCAAGTTGAAGTTGTATTTCACAGGAATATTCACCCAAAGCTTGAGAGCTGGAGCAAAGAGAGACTTGCAGTCAGTAACTGAGTAGATGAAACGCCTAATTTTTCACTAGGTGATAATTCCCTTAGGGAAGAAGGGCTTTATCTTTAATTATTCCACTTTTTGTTATATGGTTCATGCTTTTAAACTGTGATTATGGCCAGGTGCAGTAGCTCATGCCTGTAATCCCAGTACTTTGGGAGGCCCAGGTGGGTGAATCACGAAGTCAGGAGTTCGAGACCAGCCTGGCCAACAGGGTAAAACGCTGTCTCTACTAAAAATACAAAAAATTAGCTGGGCATAGTGGCAGGAATCCCAGCTACTCGGGAGGCTGAGACAGGAAAATAGCTTGAACCCAGGAGATGGAGTTCGCAGTGAACCATGATTGTGCCACTGCATTCCAGCCTGGCTGACAGAGTGAGACTCCGTCTCAAAAAAAATAAAATAAAAACAAAAACTGCAGTTGTCTCAAAATTGCTTGCTATTGAATTGTGTAACATCAGATAATGGCAGGTTGTCAAAGACAACTCCAGTGGATAATTTAGGCTACTTTCATGAGAAGCATGGTGCTAAGCTGCCTTACACAGTCTTTTTACAGTAACCATAAAAAAACTGAGTTTATTTGATCATGTATTATCCCTTCTCACATGAAGTAATATTAGAGGACTTCTTTTCAAAAGAGGCTTTCAAACTAGTCCTTTGGACATTTAAAAAATCATTACATAAATGCACACTTCTTCAATACATAAGAACAAACATTTTTCCTTTACAAAAAACACCCTTTCATTTTTAGGCCAAAATAAATTACAACTTGCTGAAATACCTTTTATGGCTCGGTGCTCATTCTAGATACATGAAGCTATACTTTTTGCACATCTTCACAAATTAGAGATACTGAGAGAGAGTAGTTACTTCTTTTTCTTTTTGAGATGAAGTTTCACTCTGTCACCCAGGCTAGAATGCTGTGGTGCCATGTCAGCTCACTGCAACCTCCACCCACAGGGTTCAAGCGATTCTCCTGCCTCAGCCTCCCAAGTAGCTGGGATTACACATGCCCGCCACCACACCCATATAATTTTTATATTTTTAGTAGCGATGAGGTTTCGCCATGTTGGCCAGGCTGGTCTTGAACTTTACCTCAGGTGATCCACCCACCTTGGCCCCCCAAAGTGCTGGGATTACAGGTGTGAGCCTCTGCACTTGGCCAGAGAGAGAGTGGTTACTCCTAAAATTACATGATGATATAACCTTGGCTCAGGGAACAGATCAAGTTCTAAATCTCAGGAATAAAAACAGATACTCATTATCCAATGCATATAGTCTTGTATTATATACATATTAACAGTCTATGTAATGGAAAACAAAGAACAGAAATTTTATAAAACTTTCAAAACTCAGAACATAAAATGTAAATAAACAAAACATTTAATGTACAATCCACTCCATTTGGCAATGCATACTGAGAAATAAAAACTTGTTTATAAACAGAATGTAACACAAGGAAAATGTGATTTAAGAAGTGATCTCAGGTCCATAGCCCTTCAGTTCTTCCAAATTTGTGGATCAGAGTGTTTGGGTTACATAAGCAC